TCACATGGCGAGAGGAAGCAAGAGAGAGAAAGCAAGAGAGAAAGAGAAGGTGCCAGGATCCTATAAACAATAAACTCTCGCAGGAACTAATAGAGCGAGAACTTACTCATTACTCCCCCCTCCCCCAGGGAGAGCATGAATCCATTCATAAGGGATCTGCCCCGATGACTCAATCAGTTTCCAACACGGCCACATTGGGGATCAAATTTCCACATGAGTTTTGGAGGGGACAACACATCCCAACTCCATCAACTATCAAGCATGAACTAGCTTAGGATGTACGTGGGTAGGCTCTTGTGGGGCTGAGTAGAAACTGCTGTTAAGAATCCTGGCGGTCCTGCCCACATCTCTCCTTGGTGAAGGCCCACCAGCTTGGGCCACAGGTACTGCTAGCTCAGATGGCACCTTTGCCATCCTCTGGTGGGGTGGACAACCCCCACAGCAGAGCTCATAGCTGGGTTTCAACCTCTACACACCCACTGGGCCAGGTACCATCATGCAGGGCAGGATTTCCTCAACCCTATGCAGAAGTTCTGTTGGGTTCCTCTCTAGCTCCCAGAGCATTTTTCAGCCCTTATCCTCACCCTGGTTCCCTACACAGCCAGAGAAGCCTTCAAGCCTCTTTCAATAGTCCCCTTTCCTCCATTTCCAGGAGAGGAAACAGTGAGAGCTCTCATTGCCTCCCAGCACCTTCTAAGGGAGAGACTTTCTCTCTCTGAAGCCAGCTCCCAGAACCTTGAATAAAACAGTCCCTCGCAATGGTGTTAAAACACCAGCGTTTACAAAGCATTTTCATACTCTTCTACTCAGCTTCTCCAAACAACCCCCTCTTTACCCTTCCTCTCCCTCCCTACCCTTCAGAGGACTGGTGAGCCAGGAGAGGCTACCCCTCAGCCACTGACACAGTGAGCCTGGGTTCCGGGGCAGGAGGCAGAGCCATGGCAGGGCTGAGTATGGTAGCAGCCATCAGAGTCCCTGGCACCAGCATGGTTTTTTCCCAGTTCCCTCTTTTTCCCAGCTGGTGATAACCCCACCTCCACAGAGGCAGAACCTCCTGAGGCTGTTGGGACTTCCCTCATCCTGTCTTTTAGGGATTCTTGTGCTTTCAAGCCCCGAGTAGACCTACCAGTGGTGAGGGTTGGCCCAGATCATTGTCCTAGCCCAGGCGAAGCAGGGCAATGTTGGAAAGCAGTGACTTGGACCTGAGAAGTCCCCAGGAGTCCAGCTATGCAAAGCCAAGCAGCTGTTCCTTTGAGAAGAGCCCTGGACCACAAGTCAAAATACCTGGGACTCAATCACATCGCATCCTTGAGCCTCAGTACCCTTACCCATAAGCTGGGGCTGTTGATCCCTGCCTTGTCTATCTCATGGGGTTGTTGTGAAGATTCAATGAGAAATCCATGAAAATGTGGTGTTAGGAAAAAGCACTGGGGCAGTCAACGTAGAGCCCTCCTTCCCTTGCTTCCCCCCATGGATCCTAGGGTTGGGTCAAGGGACCAAGGGACAGAGCTCTAGGTGGGGCATGAATTCTGCTTTACACTTGAGTGGGCCCTAGAGTGAGTCCATAGCCCCTGTTTCATTTGGTCCTCCTAGTACCCTCCATTCTTTACCTATTTCACCAGCGAAGAAACTGGGACTCTGAGAAGGAGAAGTCTTGATGAGGTCACCCACTTAATTGGCGACAAAGACAGGATTTGAACACAAGGTTCCTGACCCTAATCCAGGCTTTTAAGTGAAGGCTGACCTGAACTGTGGCCAAAAGTCTCAGTCCTCAGTAGAGCCCCAAACTTCTTTGGGCCCCAGAGGAGCCTGGGATCCTGGCTGGTCACAGGCTCCTCCCTGTCCCCTTGGGGAATGGTAATACCAACAGCTAAAGGTATAGAACCTGTTCTAAGCACTTAACATGCATTATCTTATATAAACCTCATAATTCTGTATGACAGGTACTATAATTCCCATTTTACAGATGAGGAGACTAGGGTACAGTAAAGAGGTTATGAAACTTCCCCCAAAGTCACACAACTAGGAAATGGGGGAGCCAGGAGCTGAAGTCAGAACCCAAACAAACTGGCTTTAGGGCCCAGCACAGCCCACTCCGAGATCTGGTATTTGCCTTTGGCTAAGCTGCTGTCCCTCAAGGAAGGTCTGTAGTCACTGGGAAGAGTCAGTGAGATTGCTTCAGGAACTAACAGTGTGACCCTGAACAGGGGTCTCTGGCGTTCAGTTTCCCCATCTGTATAGTGAAGGAGTTGGAGGAGCTAATATTTGCTGCAGCCTTTGCAAGCATGTACCCTTTAGATTTTTCTAGCTCCAAGGGTCAGGTTCTGCTCCCCACATCCATCGGCAGCTTTGGAGTGGGAGTCTCAGAGGCCAGTTTGGGCATCAGTGTCTTCATCTTCCTATCCTCCTTCCACTTTGGGCAGACTGGTCATCTGCAGAACCCCATGGTACTGGCATCCAGCCAGGTAGGAGGGGGATGGACAGAAAACTGCCAGGGACCCTTCTGTCGGCCTCTGCCCCATGCGGCAGGAAGGGATGGGGGAGGTGGAGACCCAGGTAGGGTGGAGAATGACCCTCCCCGCATACCTCAAACTTTTCCCAATGTCCCACCCCTCCAGCCCCAAACTTGTGCTGCCGGTCCCTGCCCAGCTCAAAGCTGGGATACCTGGGTAGAACCCCACTCTGAGAGCCTCTGCCTCCACCTCAGCCTCCCACCAGGAGCATTAAATGGGTGAACCTCGATGCCTCCCAGCTCCCCAGCTCTTACCTCCTGCTCCTTATTGTTTTCTATGGATAGCAGGTTAGGGAAGCAAGAGGGCACCAGAAGGAGAAGGATTGGGATCTGGGACCCACACTCAAGGCCCTCCCCTCCTTCAGAGCAGTAAGTTTGGTCCCCAGGAAACATCCTAACCTCTCATCTTTGCTCCCACCCAATTCCACGTTCACATCCTGAAGCTCACATCCCCGCCCTTCTAGGATCCTCTGGGGTCCTGGGATCCTCCTCCCCCAGACTCTGCCACTCACAGTCCTCCCTGGCTCTTTTGCACCCTCCACCAGGGAAGATGAACACTCCAGCAGTTATAGCAAACGAGGGTGAACAGGAAGCCCTGCAGAACCCCAGGAGTAGGACTTCCCAGCCATCCCCGATCAGGCATCCCACTACCAGGGACCCTACAATAGACCTGTCCACACCCAGGTGTCCTCACCCGCTGGGCTCAAGCAGTGAGAGAGAGAACCACTGGGTGCTACCTGGCTGCAGACGGTGGGCTCCTGGCCCAGGGCCGCATCTTCAGCTGGCATCCCTTCTTGGTCTGTCTCTCCAGAGCCAGGAAGTCCCACAGGTAGCCAGAGACTCTAGGCCACCTGGGAACCACATCAGCATCTTTACATGAGTTATAAAAAGGTGCCCCTTTCTTGGAGTGGATTTCAGCCTTGTACAGTACACAACCCTGTCTTAAACCCTCTACTTCCACAGCCTGGTTCAGGGATAACCAGGATGGGAGCGGTCATGAGGGTGGGTGGCAGACTGGGCATGGGGAAGGATGGGAGAGGAATAGGCGTAGCAGTAAGTGGCGGGGGGATCTGGAGCTTGCCAGGAAAAGCCAGCACAGACTATCAGGTCTCCAGAGACCTCCAGTAGTCTAGGCCACAACTAACTTGTGGGGACTGAATGAATAAGAGGGGAGGGAGAGGGATGGGGGAGAAGGAGAGAGGAGAGTGGAGGGGAGATGGGAGCAGCAGAGAAAAGAGGCAGAGACTAGACGTAGGGAGAGACCTAGAAAGGGGGCGGAGAAGAGAGAGGAGGAACAACCCACCAGAGTTGCCAGGGGAGATGCCCCAGGGCTGGACCTGAGGCCTGGGGGCCGCAGAAAGGCAGGAGCCGGGCGAAAGCACGAGGGAGACGGGAAGGGGTCGGGTCTCTAGGCAAGCAGAGAGTGGGAGGGGAGGCGGGGAAGGCGTGCGGGGGGCGGGGGGCAGAGATAAAGGGAGCAGCGGCGGCAGGGCCAGGAGCGCAGCGACAGGCGAGAGGGAGGGAAGCGGAAATTTAAAAGTGAAGATGCAGATAACGCAGCCTGGAGACGGGAACCCGGGTGGGGATAGAGAGAGGAAAGGGGGAGAGTGGGCGGTGAGGGGGGCGGAAGAAGGGCTCCAGGGAGGGGCTGAGGCCGCGGGGTCCGAGGTGGGGCCGGGTGTCCCCGCCGCATCACTGTTTGCAGAGAGT